AACAACAAAAAATGGCTGATAATGATGGTGTCATGCTTGATGAAGAAATTGAATCAATAAAGCCAATTGGCTTTATTGATTCAATTTCCATCAGAGCTATTACAAAATCCTGTGAAAATACTAGAGTTTCTTGCTTGCAACAATAGATTTACAGCATTTCTAAATCTCTTCAATGCTCTTAGAATTTTTCTTACCAACCCAGTGACAATTGCATCTGGGGAAAGGTCATTTTCTTAGCTCAAACTCATCAAATCTTTTCTAAGGTCAACAATGAGTCAAGAATGTTTGGGTATCATGTCAAGAGAGTGTGAAGTGGGCAGAAAATTGTGTTTAAATGAGATCTGGAAAGAATTTACTGAGAAAAAAAAATCAAGAAAGATTAGGTCTTGATCACATGTTTTGACATTATTTTATATAAATTTAGATAATTTTAGATAATTGTCTCACCTCTCTCTATTGGTTTTTGACACTCCTCCAGCCTTACATTTAGTGGGTAGTTGGTTTCACTTTTCTCTGCCACAACTGCAAAGAATTGAGTACATGCAATTCTTGGTCATGTTAAGTTTTACTTGGCAGAGATTTCTCCATAAAGACAAACTACTTTTGAATATTGTTCTGTTGTTGTATGGAATACAGATCTTCTGAATCATTTCCAATAAGCCCTTGACATAAGGTAGACAGGCCATGGAAATTTTCAGGTCTTCCTTCTTGTTCGTTCTCTTCCCACTTAGATATTAATGTTATGTTTATCGGGGAGTTGATGATACATATAATTCTGATCATTTCTTGTTGATTTTTGCTTAGTGTTATAGGCATTGAATGATCCCTTTCTTTGCACTGTATGGATGGTGGGAATTAAAGTTGATAGAAATTCAGACAGAAACACCTTAAATCTATTGTAAAATTATCCCAGATGCTTAAATGAAATGTAACTGAAGAATTCCTGATGGTGATCATTTTCAAATAAAGCAGGAGTCAATAAAAAGTTAGTTAAAATCTATGATCACTTATTGTAGTCAAAGGCCTCATACAGGTCTTCTAGAGGAACAAGCTAAAAATCCTGCCTGTTGATTGGGTTTTCAGCTAATCATAACATATGAAGGGCAATGTGACATGAAACAGTAGAATTACGTCATATCTTGGGATAGTTGAGAAGAGGTAGCATCAGGCAGGCAAGGAGAAAAAAACCACATCAGATATTTTGTCTTTTTGAAAATAATTTTTACCTCAGGCATAATTAGCTTTCATGTCAATATATAAATTGATAAAGTGTATTTACTAATGGCTAGAATGCTAAACTGAACCCTCTATTTGTGCCCATGAGACAAGTTAAACCAAATCTTCATGTTCTTGTTTAGCTATATAGTAAATATCCAGCTGAAAATCTCCAAAACATTTTAAGTCTTTATTGATAGGACGCTATCTTAATATTTCAAATTATGATTCAATGAATACGTCATTAAAATCCATGATCCCTTTTTGGGTTAGATGACACTATTTCAGGTTTAATAGTGATGATTTTAAATTAGATATGATTCAATGAATACGTCATTAAAATCCATGATCCCTTTTTGGGTTAGATGACACTATTTCAGGTTTAATAGTGATGATTTTAAATTAGATATGATTCAATGAATACGTTGTTCAAATCTCTAATCACATGGTGTAGCCAAAGGTCTTCAGTAGGAACAAATTAAAAATCCTGCATATTCACAACTGATGAGACTTGAAGCAATGTAGAGTTTAGTTAATATCTTGGGACAATGGAGAAGTGGGTCACATCAGGCAAACCAAGGAAATAAACCATCTGAGATGTTTATCTTTTTCAAATAATTTTTACCTCAGGCAAAATTAGTTTTCATGTAGATATACAAATTGATAAACTGTATCTCTTATCTGCTTCCATTTTAACATAGCTTGAACTTTCACAGATTCTAATACATCAGTCAAGTATCATAAAATACTTATCAATGTTCTAATTGCATTTCATTTAGTCAGAATAGACATTTCGAGAGATCAGATCCTTCAATTTTTTAAAGAAATAGATGAGGACTCAGCTTTTATTTCTATAAAAGATGGTTAAGTTAGTGTTATAGTAATTTAATTATGCACACATGGACTTTCCCAGCTATAAATAGGAGCAGGTACTGCCTTTTAGAGAGATTAGTTTCCAGCAGTCAGCTCTGTCAGTCAGACCAAACATCCTTTCTGTAACACTCTCGTTTGTATATGTTTATATTACTGATCTTGTTAATATATTTGTTTAACTCAATTCCTCTTTGTGTCTTTATTTCTGTCCCCAACAAGGTCACAACAGTTAGGTTGGTTGATTTTATAACATGTTATGCCTTGAGGTTTTATGTTTGTTCTTTTACAATAATGTTCACCTTTACAAGGCCCAAGAGTCACTCGAGGTAGAGGGTTACAGAGTAAGATGCTCAGTTCAAGGAGATATGTAAGGAAGATAACAGTTAAGCCTTGACTTGAACAATTTAAGATTGTAGCAAACAGGGAAACATCTTCTTGGGAGTCGGTTCCACAAAGCATTGATTCAGGCCAAGAATCAGCATAAGTAGAACTTACATCTGGCTAATGGAATACCAAGGGAATGAGAAGGGTTTGCTACAATGTATGTGGGATGGCAGGTTTTAGCCATGAAGGTGAGAATTAGTACAACTGAAGAATGTAGTCTTAACACTTTCCATGGGAATAGCAATAGAGCAGCAAGAGGCTTGCGATGTTTGGTCTGTGGGAAAGGGGTCGTAGGGTGGAAGATAATTCATCACCCACAAGGGGCATTGGAAACACCTCTGAACTTTATCAAGACTGAAAATAAAGACTGGGCTACTTCTGCATATATATGGCAGCAGTACTTCATTTTCAGTTTTATCTAGCTCTTATAAATGTAGACGATAGCAGGAGGACCCTAGTTACTAGAGTAGTACAGAGAAATTTACCTCCCCCCCAAACTACCAAGAGCCAAAATTTACTGAGTGAAAAATAATTTTTAACAATACATAATGAAGAAAAGCTTGGAAAATTTAACACTCACAGGTCACATTGAAAAGAAAGGAAAGAAAGCAGAAAGTAACATACTTGATAGATTTGAGCAAATAGACAGAAGAAAAGGAACCACAAGTAGGTGTTTATAAAAGAGAAAGTATTGTTGAAAGCAGTAAGAGACTGGGAAGAGCCATGATTATTGATATCCTGAAGGATTGGTGGGTTTAGTGCCATATCAGCACTTGAGTCATTTAATGCTGAAATCTGTATTTTATTATCTTCTTTTATGTGCTGTGTCCCTTTGGGATAGCGATCATGGCTCTCCACTTTCCTCATCCTTTATAGTTCTCAATGTTTTATCCTTTCCCTGCTTCTCCCTGACCCTGTTCTGCCATCCACTTGCTTAAGCCCACTAAGTTTGTCATGCATTGCTGTCCCTTGTCTCTCTTTCCCTTTATCCACCCTATGAGTATCAGTTTTTCCAAGCCCTCCTTTCTCATTAAGTGTCCCAGAAATTTCAGCTGCCTCTTCCTGATGTTAAGTATAAGCTTCCTCCATGATTGCATCCTCTCCAAAACCTGATTGTTGCTGATATGTTCATTCCATGACATCGTTAGCATCCTTCTGTAGAACCATACCTCTGTTGCCTCAAGTCTCTTCATCTTTGAGGAGACTGTCTAACATTCGTTGCTATAAAGGAGGACAGATATCATGTAGCAGTTTAGTACTCTTTTCTTTGTTACCAACAAAATCCTCCTGTCTCATAATACTCTGCCTAGCTTTTGGAATGTGCCTTTGGCTATCCCAATATGTCCTCAGATCTCAGCATCATACTTACTATCAGAACACTTCCCAGATATTTAAATTTCCGCACCTGCTTGATTTTAGGGTCTCAAATCTGTAAATTGCATTTCAGGTTCATCTTTTTTACTGATGACCATGCATTCTATATTCTTGTAGTTTATGCTTAGTCCCTTCTTGCTCTCTTTTGCTACCTTCTGTAGGTTTTATAATTTCCTTTATGTGTCTACTATCAGTACTGTGTCATCTGTGTATCTTATGTTGTTAAGACTGTGGCTACCCGTGATGAATCCTGGTAGGATTTCTAGTTTTCTCAGAATTGCCTCAGTGTATAGAGTGAATAAGTCTGGTGAGAAGACACATCCTTCCCTTACGCCCCTTTCTATTTTTGTATATCTGCTGAACTTATTTTCTATCCGTATGCAGGCTGTTTGCTGCCAGTATAGGTTCTTGATTATTCTAATACTTTTTCCAAGTATATCAAAGTTGCTTATTTTTATTTTATTTTTTACTTTTTTTTTAAGTTTAGGAATTATAGAAATAGTAAATGTTTATGGTTTATTTTGAAATAAAACTAATTTAATGAAAATAAACTTTTTACATTATTCGAACTATTGTCCTCATCTTTGTTGCCATATTTATTACAACATTTCAGCCATTGTACGCTCCAGCCTTCTTCAGGTGGTTGGAATGTTGAACTGAACCCTTTATTTCGCTCACCGGGGTAGACTGTTCTAATTCCACATGCCATGGATGTCAGTTATCAGTTATATATATATATATATATATATATATATATATATACAGCCTTTCAAGAGTGGATAAAGGACTTTGCTGAACATTAATTTATGATAGGTACACAACAAACAAAATTCACTAGACGACACATTCTGGTGAATGAGTGGAACCAGTGAAATTGATCACACTGAATGCAAACCACTCATTCAGACTTCTACAAATCTATATCTGCTAGCTTCAACTTTGTGTCAGGAAGGTAAACTGTAATTTTTTTTAATGTTAATCTATAAAAATTCTTCCCAAAATTCTTCCGTTTTTTTATTAGCCAACTAGTTAATTTAAGTAACGCCCCTAAATATTTTTGAATGACATCTAAGGTACTTTCCAGATCAGATTCGTGTCAAGCTCATTTCCTCCAATCATTAAATCATAGAAAAAAAAACCCAAAATAAACTGACCTGTATTTTCTGCTTTGATTTAGAAGTCAAGGAATCCATTTGCTGCTGGTAATGAAAACGTGCAATTGTGGCTCCATCACATGTTGCCTGTTGACTCCTCATCAATTGTGCTATCCGAAGACGGAGCATGGCATTCTCTGTCTCCAAGTTCATTATCCTCTCCTCTTTAGCCTACAAAATAGACAAGTTCAAAGTGACAAAATGACAAATATGATTATCAAGCATTGTCAACAATGAAACAAAGTTTCTAAATCTACTTAAATGTATAAATTCAATTGACAGCTTCCTTTAACAACCTCTAATTGAAGAACATGTTTTATCATCATCTTCAGTCACTTGTAGTAAAAGGCTCACTTCACAGCTGAGCACATGACCTCCATATAACTCCATATAACATGACCTCCATATAACTCCATATAACATGACCTCCATATAACTCCATATAACATGACCTCCATATAACTCCATATAACATGACCTCCATATAACATGACCTCCATATAACTCCATATAACATGACCTCCATATAACTCATTTGCATGCCTATGTCTGGTAAGAAGTAAAAACCATTTGTTTTTTAATTTTAAGAAAGCAAGAAGAGGATTGATGGATTCATTTTTTATGGCTTATCAACGCTTTGCAGGTTATTTAAAGCCAAAAAGACTGTAAGAATTTGTTTTTGGTGGCTTGAGTAGATAATAATGGTTTAGTGATACAAGTTTTACTACTTAACCCATATTTAAGGGAGAAGAGAGGGATTCATATCTTTCCCAATGGTATTTGCACATAAGTAAATATAACAAAGCCATCTGGAATTAGCTCTCTGATTAACAAATCAGAAGCATTATCCATTACATCACCTTCACATCCAAGCCTACAGTACCTGATATTCCTAAGCAGTCACCCATCAGGGCTTGACATTGCTTAACATCAGCATTTCAATGTGATGTGGCCATAAGCATAATAATAAAAAGATTTAAGAATTGCAGATTATGAGGATACATAAGATAGATAATGATTGACCCTAGGCTTGAGGAAGTTAATATTGTGGCAATCAGGGAAGATCCTTTTGGAAGTCTGTTCCACAAAGTAACAGATCTAGGGAAGAAGCTTCTTACCGATGGAATATGAAGGAAATGTGGATGATTCACCTCTGCATATGTGGCATGGCAAATCTTAACTGTAAAGGTCTGAACTGACGGAACTAATGAATGCAGCTTGTCAGAACATTTTCTGTGGAAATAGTGATAGACTATCAAGAAGCTTGCACCTTTTTGTTTATGGAGAAAAGTTTTGTAGGGTGGAAAATAATTTATCAGCCACAAGATGGCATAGACACTTTTGGACTGTCAAGACTGGAAAATAATGAGTCAGCAACTCCAGCACAGATATGACAACAAAACTCCATTTTTAGTTTTAAAGACAGAGCATAGCTTTCTGGAGCGATATGAGGAACTGACCATTTTAAGAAAATCTTTTGATCGGTGGGATGAGTTCCACTTGAGGTTTGGAAAGAACTTTAGTCCCAATAAACATTCAAAGCGAGTCTTTTATCATGCAATCTGATGTGCATGACACCAATTTCCAATGTCACTTCTGTTATGGCTAATGTGCTTATTTAAATGTACTTCCAAAAAAGAAACGAGCTACTACATATATCTAAATAAATAAATGGCAAATTCTGTCTGTCCATCTGTGTGTCTGAAACATCCTCTATCTCTGGCCACACTTGCTCTACATAAACATATTATACCTTTTTGGAATCAGGATGATCCTGGAATTGAAAATCTGCCCTTCATTTGGTGCTTGAACAGGTTTGCATCCAGATGAGGAGGGAACAGTTAAAGATCCAAATTTAAAAAAAAAAAAAAAAATAGTGAATTTAATAGTTTTTAATTTATATTGAGTAAGTAACACAAAGGTTTTGTGAATTTAAAATTTTTTTAAATTCAGTTTAAAATATCTCAAAAAAAATTTTTTGTTTTAAATTCAGTTTAAAATATTTCCAAAACTTTTTGAACTGAGGAAATCAATTTTATTTCTTCAATATGCCAAAGAATCAGATTTAAAGTGAGAGTTTTCATGATGTGAGTTTTTGAAATTCCACAGTCTTTGTGATTTGAAGAACTCAACTCAATTGAAGTTCCACCGAGTTAATGATTTGAAAAACTAAATTTTTTGGCCAGAATTGGAATCTCATCCCAAATCAGAGTTTTGGCTCAAATTGGACTTTCAGTCCAAATCACTTTTGGCTCAAATTGGTCTTATAGCCTGAATCAGAACTGAAATGTTGTTTTGAAGTTCCATGGTGTGAATTGAGGAATTCAAAATTTATTTCATCAAAATTATCTTTGCTGTTTTCTAAGCTGGGCAAGGGGCCCAATTAGCCCTTCTGCAGTAGTTTTTAAGCTAGTATATAATAATCCGAGCAGAGTTTGTTCAAATGACATCTTAAAAATTTAAAAAAAAAAAAAAAAATATAACCAGCTTAATCTTATTTTCCTTTCTCCTCCTAACAGCCATTACACTCTCCTATGGTGTATAGGGTGACAGGCTCACCACATAAGATGTTTCTACTGTGATTTCTACAGGTTTTTACAGAGTGGAGTTGTGTGATAACAAAGGAGAAAACCCAAGTCTTACCTTGTAAAAGAATTTGAGTTCTTTGCACTGTTTGTAAATAAAGAAAATCAAAATCATATCTACTTTACTAAGGCCTTGAAATATGGTAATTGTTTGCAATTACCTATCACTCCCAACCAATCACAGCATTTCTTCCTTACACCAATAAAAGAATGCTACTTTGGATCACATGAGAATCCTCTGTTCTTTCTGCGTAAAGTAGGCAGTTGCATGTTGCAAATCATAGATACAGATTTACGATTCCAGTATTTTTTTTTTTTTTTTCTTTTTGTTTGTTCCATTTTCATAGCACATCTCTCAATTGTATAAAAAAAAATTTACTTATCTTGGTAAGTAAACCCTCTAGTTGTGAAAGCATTATTAATGCATGTCTGGGTTGCCATCAACAAGTTATCTCTTGTGTGGAAATCTAAACTTTCAGATAACATGAAAAGCTTTCAAGCAACTGTTACTCTGTTATGTTGTACGGCTGCTCAGCATTGAACTTTACTTCAAAACTGAAAAGAAAATTGGATGGAACCTATACTCACAGGCTGAGAGTGGCTTTGAGTGTCACTCAAAGCAAATGTTTGACCAATGAGTGATTGTGTGAGAACCTCTGTCTAGTAGTATCAGACATCATAAAAGGTCGTAGAGTCAGATTTGCTAGAGATTGCTGGAGAGCTAAAGACAAAATTGTTAGTTGTTCTTTTTGCAAGAGATTACACAAGGAAGTGGTAGCAGAGGATAACAAACCAAAACCTCTTATGAAGCAGACATAAACTGCAGTCCCTCTGACCTGACAAATATGATGAACAATAGAATTAAATGATGCAAGAGAGTCACAGAAATCCATTCAAACAGTGTGACCACATGATGATTTTATTTTTTTTATTTTTGATTAACAAGACTTATTTATGATCTTTGGAATTACAACCCTGCATTTCTGATTTGGGATCAGAACCTCCCATTACTATTTTCCCCACAGATTGTCAGTGCCACCCACAACCAGTTTTATTTCAGAGTTGTCCTTCTCTTTGATGGGGAGAAGAGATGGTTTATTACATTGACCAAGCGTATTTGTGTGAAAGTGAATGCAATGAACTGAGCTCGAATTTAAACTTCGCACGCTGATTTCACTTTCCATTCCGTTAACTGCTACTCTGCACACAATCCTGCTTTAGCTTACAATTGCAACAGCAAACAATAACAATCAAGATCATTGTCCAATAAAAAAAAATTGTTTTGTCTTCTCTTCTCAACTGTAGAGAAATATGATCCTGTGGTGGTAAATTCTTTTATATGCCATATCACTTCAAGATATGAGTTATCATGGCTCTACAAAGTGGGATGATGTTGAAATAATAGACAGAGAACATCACTGGAAAATGCGAAAACTTAAGGAATCAGCACATATGCTAGGCCACAAAAATCTCCTAAGACAGCCAAGCATAGAAATGAATACAATATGGGAACCAGTAATACAGAGTGCTAGAGAAAATAAATAACAAACATTACAATATGAGCTCTGGTAAAAGAGGTACTGAGACATTAGGTTTATAAGCCCCAAAAATTCATACATACCCTGATGTCCTCAAGGATACCTGGCCCAGTGGATAAAAGCATTGGTTGGATTCAGTGACTTGACCCTAAGAGTTCTGAGTTCAATAACTGGCTACTGCAGTGATGAACAAAAACTTGGAAAGTTGAATTAAAGGGAGATAACCGAGACATCTGGAAGAGGCATGGCACTAGAACACTCTACCCCAGTGGATGAAATAAAGGGTTCAGTTCAAAATTCCAATCACCTGCAGAAGGCCAGAGCATACAATGGCCGAAATATGAATATGACAATAAAGATGAAGACAAGACTCTGTACAATGTAAATGATTACAATACCTCATCTCAGAAATATAGATACATAAAACAAGGACAATAGTCCACAGATAATTAACATTAATAATGATAACTCATCCCAGAAATTCAGACAGAAATTGACATCCATGTTGCCACATGGACTACAGTATTTGATTTATACCAAATTAAGATTAATAAATTTCCCTATACCTCTTTATTTTTTTCTTAATGCTACAGGTCATCAGGTCTCTCCACAGATCTGTTTCTTTATTATCTAACCTATAGCTGGAGAGAAAAGATGGAGTTGTGCCTTTTCCATGGGCATTAGTGTGAAAGTGAAAACAACAGACAAGGTAGTAATTTAAATTTAACTTGCTGGTTCCTCTGTCTGCACCATTAATCATTATGCTGCTTACACATCCTACTGAATGCTATCTTTAACTAAAATACAGCACATACCCAAAAATTTTGCTGACAAGATTTTCTTTTTCCATACCAGGTTGTATGTGAGAACGACCTAGATCCAACACAGAAGATTCTGAGTTATATTCACAAGAGTAGAAACAATCACAAGATTAAGCAAACAAACCGATTCCATTATTTTCATTCTGCAGAGACTTCCATATTATCCTTTGTTATTAAGGTCGGCACTTCAAATTCACTAAGACGGTTGATACTTCACCAATGAAGCC